GAGGCAGGAGAATTGCCTGAACCTAGGAGGCGGAGGTTGCGGTGAGCCGAGATCGCGCCATTGCACTCCAGCCTGGGTAACAAGAGCGAAACTCCGTCTCAAAAAAAAAAAAAAAAAAAAAAAAAAAAGAATAATTTTCTAAACCATGACGTGAAACTGACCATCCTGTGGCCACATGGTACAAAACACCAAATTTTGGTTACCACAAAACTCCACATTGTAGCAAAACTTTACTAAATATAATGCCTATGAGATGTGTTTCTGATCTTGGACGACCATTTGATCTCTACATATGAGAAGTTTTGTACATTCCACAGAATACCTCCTGATAGGAAAGTTAATTTCCAGTTTCACACATAAGCAAAAAGGCATTTTCTCCAAGAGTTTTAAACACATTTTTATTTTTAAATGACTTATCAAAACTCATCTGTAAATTTTACATGTAGAAACATATAAAAGTAATTTTTAGCAAGCCCTTGACATCTTACTGGCTTTCTGCTCTTCTGTTTTAGTCTACAAAAGATCAGCAATACTTTAAGTGGAAAAAAGAAGATCCCTTGTAATTAAGCAGTAGAACATTGATGTTTAGGAAATATGAGGGACAACAGATATGGATGAATGAAAGTTTAGTCTTTCTTAATTTAGACAGCAAACTTAGTCTCTCCAGTTAGCCTTGCTTTAACCCCTTCCCTCCCTCCTCTAATTGCAGTTTCATGTTAAACCGCAATTACTGAAACTCTTTTCCTGTCCTTCTGGATTAATTTTCCAAAGTTGGAATATAGTCATTTCCTATTAGGCTGTATATTACTTGAGACTTTTCTTTCACCATTACCTTCTGATGTCTAGTATATGATATTTCTTTTTTTCACATCTTTGCCCTTTCACCAGAATAATAAATCGGGTGAAGTGTGCACAATATCTGTATTTTGAATGGCTATGGTGTTAGGTTGAAATGGCCAGGCACAAATTTAATCTGATCATTTTGTTTACACATTGGGAAAAAATTAGTTTATTAAACATTACCTGTAACTGTACCTGTTTTACCAAGCTGGAACCTTGGGACTTTTTATTTCTAATTTTTATTACTTGAATGTGAGACTGTTTTTTCATGTGATGTACATAGTGAGTGGAGTTTGCTTTGTTTTATAGTATCTATACTACTGGTATTTTCAAGCACTGCTTTGAAAACAGATGACTTATTTCTCCATTAAAAACGCAATAAAAGTAAATGGCAAACAAGCAAAGTGAAACTAAAATACTGGACAACAGTAACATTTAAATCTGAGATCTGAATTCAGATGTACTTACATTGTTCTGAAGGAGGGTAGAGACACTGATGAACTTTTCGACCTTACTAAGTCTAGAATGTAATGATGTTTAGGGAAACATGAAAAGGTTAAAACTTCATATCAGTAAAGGTGAAAAATAAAGCTAAGCTGAATCTAAAAGAAGGCAGGAAAGAAAGGGGGGAAGCATATCGAAAAATAGGGTAAAAAGAAAACACGATCTATAGTAATGGAAATGAAACCAAGTATATCTGTCACTACAATCAATGGACCAAACTTCCTGACTAAAAGGCAGAGATTGTCAGATTCCATGGGAAAACCAAGTCCCACTCTATGCTGTTTTACTTCTGAGAGACACATCCAAAATAAAAGAATGGAAAAAAAGGCATGTTAAGAGAAAATAAGCTGGTATAATAATAATATCACTTAAGTAGGTGTTAGAGCAAAAATAATTATCAAGGACAAAAGGACCATGGATTGATGATAGAAGACCGACTGCATCAAGGAAACGGAATGATTTAAAACTTGTCTGCACCTGATAAATCACTCTCAACATAAAATAACAAAGATGAACAGAAATTGCTAAATGTGTTGTTATCAAAGAAGATTTCAAAACAGCTCTTTCATTAATTGATATCAAGCGGATAAAAATAGAAGGGAAACAGGTTTTGAACACAGTCCAGTGTAGCAGTTGGTGAACTTTTCCTATTAAGGACCAGATAGTAGCTATCTTCAGCTTTGTGAAGCCATACGGTCTCTGTCACAGCTACTTAACTCTGCTTTTGTAGGGTGAAATCAGTCGTAGACAATATGGAAACAGATGGCCAGGGCTGGATTTGTCACCCATCCCCCTCAGCCATGTTTGCCATCAGTGATCTAGTGACCGTTTATTATAGAACCTTCCGCCCAACAATTGGAAAATGCATATTATTCTCAAGTAAGTATTGGGCATGTACAAAAATTAACCTCGTGCTGTATCAAAAGTAATATTTAACATACTTCAGAGTATCTGATTTATAGGACATGTTCTCTGACCACAGAACAGTAAGGTAGAAATTAAGTAACAAATAGCACAAAGAAGACACAAAAAAGCTTAAGCCATAGAAAGAGAGATTGGTACAATTATGAGATTTTGTTCATCAAATAATGAACAGTGAGAAACTGAAAAACAGGCCTTAAGCTGGGAGAAGATTTTGTGATAACATGAAACTGACAAATATTTACTATTCAGAATTTATTAAAGATGGCAAAGGAAAAAGTCTATTTAAAAAGATCAATAGGCTGGGTGCAGTGGCTCATGCCTGTAATCCCAGCACTTTGGGAGGTCAAGGTGGGCGGATCACTTTAGGCCAGGAGTTTGAGACCAGCCTGGGCAACATGGCCAAACCCTCTATTTACTAAAAATACAAAACTTACCTGGGTGTGGTGGCATGTAGCTGTAGTCCCAGCTATTCCGGAGGTGGAGGCAGGAGAATCACTTGAACCCAGGAGGTGGAGGTTGCAGTGAGCCGAGATCATGCCACTACACTCCAGACTGGGTAGTGGTGAGAGTCTGTCTTAAAAACAAAACAAAACTGGGTGTAATGGTTCATCCTTGTAATCCCAGCATTTTGGGAGGCTGAGGCGGGCAGAGCACTTGTAAAACCTAACCTTTTGTATTTTTCTCTACTAAAGTACAAAAATTTGCCAGGCGTGGTGATTTGCGCCTGTAATCCTAGCTACTTGGGAAGCTGAGGCATGAGAATCGCTTGAACCCAAGACACAGAGGTTGCAGTGAGCCAAGATCATGCCACTGCACTCAAGCCTGAGCAACAGAGCAAGATTCTGTCTCAAAAAAGGAAAATAATAAAATCCCTAACAACCCAGTTTAAAAAGTAGGCCAAAGAAATGCATAAGCATTTCACAGAAGAGGAACTAGGAATGGCCAATAAACATGAAAAGATGCCCAATCTCATTAGTCATAAGGAAAATACAATTTAAGATCAGAGAGGTGTTTTTTTCTTTTTTCTTTTCTTTTTTTTTTTTTTTTTTTGAGATGGAGTTTCGCTCTTGTTACCCAGGCTGGAGTGCAATGGCGCGATCTCGGCTCACCGCAGCCTCCACCTCCTGGGTTCAAGTGATTCTCCTGCCTCAGCCTCCTGAGTAGCTGGGATTACAGGCACGTGCCACCATGCCCAGCTAATTTTTTGTAGTTTTAGTAGAGACGGGGTTTCACCGTGTTGACCAGGATGGTCTCGATCTCTTGACCTCGTGATCCACCCGCCTCGGCCTCCCAAAGTGCTGGGATTACAGGCGTGAGCCACCATGCCCAGCCTGGTGTTTTTTAATACAAAAATAAAAAAGTCTAACAGTGTCTAGGTTTGTCGAGGATGAGGAGCAATGGACATTCTAACATGGTGCCACTGAGAGTGAAAACTGTTTTGGCCCCTTTGGGAAACAGTTGGGTCTTATCTAGCAAAGTTGACAGGCCCACACTCTTTGTTCCAATTATTCCACTCGTAGGTCTTCATTATCATCCACTGGGACACTGGTGGACTTCATCTTACTGATTCTCTTAGTCTTTGGGGTGACCAGAGTCTGTGGGACCACAGCCATGTCCAGAACGCTACACACCTAGTTTACCTCCAGTATGCTATTTAAATACCGTAATGTTCTATATATGTTGTGGTGTTAGAAAAGTCAGGAAGCACTTGGAGATGAGTATGAGAGTGTTTATGTCCACATTTTGTAGTGGTCTAAAGTTCAAGACAATCCACATAGCCACCAATGAGAGAATGACTGGATGGTGGCATATTCACGCAATAAATAGTATAAAGTTGTGAAATTAAACCATAGCTACCTGCGTCAATGTAACTGTGTCTTATACGTTATGACAGGAAAAGCACATTGCAGAAAAATGCAGGATGTGATACCATTTATATAAGGTTTCAAAATAAGCAAAGTAGAGCAGTATAATTTAGGGTTCCAAACGTGTGGTATAACCATAAATGAAAAATAAGGCCATGTTAAACACAGAATCCAGAAGAGTGATTCCCTTTGGTAGGGCGAGAAGTG